CACACACACACACACACACACACACACACACACACACACACACACACCATTACCATTACCATTACCAGCCTAATCTGAATATAAATATTACATTTTAGAGAGAGTGATAAAGACTGCAATAGTTCATTTTGAAATGCAGCTTCTCTTATATAAACCCCTTCCTTCAATACTGGTCATGTTGGCCAATTAATTCCTTTGGGCCAACAATTCTCCAAATTTGGTCTCAGTTCAAAGATAAGCTTGTTTAAAAGATTCAGCATAATCTGTTCAGCCGTTTCTGAGTTCTGTGTGTAGTAAAATAAACACCACCAACATAATTCAATATGAGCTGTATGAATTTTGTTCAGCCTTGGTTATTTTGTAGATCTAATTGAGATCTAATGAACAAGCCAGGTTGGAAGGAAATTCATTCAGTAGTTCTGAAGTAATGATCATTAGGTGTTTCTTCACATTTATGTAATAGAATATTAAGTTAGATTTCTTTGGTTGGCATAAGCCTTAGAATATTGGGTTTGCACTCAGGCTATTGGGGCACTGTGAAGTGCTTTTATTTAATTCTGCAGGGACTTTTAAAGTGCAGTTAAGTTTATAGCACTTTACAGAGTTATAAATGTAGTAATGTTCCGTGTGGGGCGGCTGGTAGTGGCATTGCCACCTAATAGAATGAGCGCAGGGCAGGGAGCCCTGAACTCTTTAGTGCTGTTCTATTTCTGCCACTCATTGGCCTCAGTAATACACTGATGTTTCTAAATTTCTGTGTCAATTCAGATTATGACTTAAAGGCACGTCCCTTAAACTCTGTGGGGTCTACTCAGACCTGGATTTTGCAGGAAAAAGTCAGGCTGAGGGGCTGCTGGTAGTGTAAGGATGACCATGAGGAGAGTTACCGCAGGATGAGCCATCTGCAACCATCTCTTCTCCCTGACAACAGCTAGCCAGTGCAGACCAGAAAGTGAACAGAGAAGGCATGGCCATGGCATGTCATCCTTCCAGGGAGAAAGCTCCTCCCCCCCGCCCCCCACTACGCAGGAATCAAACCAGATACTTATTTACACCACACTCCCTCTTGTTTAATATGCAACTGGTGTTCAGTTTTATTAGCCTTCTCATTTGATGAGGTGGGAAAAGACAATTCACTGCACAACAGACATGTGACTGGTGGTCAGACCACTGACACTATGTATCCAAGTGCATCTGTTGGGTCAACTCCGAGGGGAGAAAACTAGGCTACTGCTCCAGTCATATCCAGCAGGAAGACATACTGTGCAAATCGGTGGAAAGAAAGGGAGGTTGGCACAGCCCCTGAGACCCTGCCCAAACCTTGCCCACAGATTTACTACAGCTGCCGGCCTACTCTAATCTCCACAGGGAAGAAAGAGGGGCAAGATTTGTGAGAGGCTAGTTGGGAGAGTACGTTAAAGTATTTGTTTGAGATTCCTGCTCCCTTCAGCTGCTGCTCAGGTCCCAACTGCAGAGCAATTCCATGGCCCAAATTGCCTGATTGTCCTCAGTGTTAGTTGTGCTAGTGCAGAGATCCCACGTATGGGAATAAAGAGTCAAAGGGTCAGGATTTGGTCCAATGAGGGGTTATTTCATGTGCACACTAACACACCCTTTACTTGCTCCCAGGAAAAAACCACATGGAATCTGGGCTTAAACTAGAAAGTATAGTTAGTTAATTCATAGAATCACAAAAATGTAGGGCTTGAAGGGACCTTGAGAGGTCATCTAGGCCAGCCCCCTGCACTGAGGCAAGACCAAATAAACTAGATCATCCCTGGCAAGTCTTTTCTAACCTGTTCTTAGAAACCTGCAATGATAGGGATTTCACAGTCTCCCTTGGAATCCTATTCCAGAATTTAACTACCCTTCTGGTTAGAAAGTTTTTCTTAATATTTAACCTAAATCTCCCTTGCTGCAGATTAAGCCTATTACTCTGTCCTACCTTCAGTGGACATGTGGTCTGACCTCTGGTCACATCTGTTGTGAGGTGAATTGTCTTTCCCCAACTTGACAATTTTATAACAGCCCTTAATATACATGAAGACTGTTATAAGGTCTCCCCTCAGTCTCTTTTCTCAAGACTAAACAGGCCCAGTTTTTTTAACCTTTCCTCATAGCTCAGGTTTTCTAAATCTTTTATCACTTTTATTGCTCTTCTCCAGACTCTCTCCAGTTTGTCCACATCTTTCCTAAAGTCTGAGGCCTCACCAGTGCTATGTAGAGCACTTTGAAAGCATCTGGAAGATGAAAAAGCGCTATATGTCTTGCTGTGTATTAAAGCATTCACATGGGTTTATATTTAAAAAGGTCTTGAGATAAAACCACCCATCAATCAAAGTACATTTTGTTTAAACACTGTTATTGTAGTTTCAATTTCGGTTCATTACTTCCTGAAGGAGATCTTGTAATATAAATTGTTAAAGTAAAACACATTAAACATTTTCCTAGAAGCTGGTCCTGCTTAGACAGGTTTCTAGTTTCTTTCAGAGTGGGTCTGACGTGGGTTGCAGTATTGTGCAGAGAGCTCTATCTTTTATATTTTCCAGCAGTGCTATGCTAGTCTTTCCTCATATTAAAATCACTGATTGAAACAGCATGAATCTTTCATTTCTGAAGAGCTAAGGACCAGAGAGTTTTTAATATTTTAATCTCTAAGAAATTTCTGTTACTTCAGGAAAATTGATAACATTTTTTACCTCAGCAAACCGTAAATGGACAGGATCTCTCCTTGAGTTTAGAGAGGTTTATATGCTCTTTGGCAAGACATTATTACCTTTGAGCAATATAACTATGGTGTAGATTGACTGCATTCCAAAGGCTGGAATCACATACATAATGTTTTTATTTTTCAATAATATTCAGACACCAGAATAAAACCCATATGTTAGCTAAAGCTGATTACAGTGGAATACCGTCATTCTTCATTGAGAGCATTCTTTCTTGTTTTGTTAGTATTTTAAACAAATACACTGAAAATACAGTGTAGGATGTAATCACAATTATTTTAAATGTAGTATTTACAACTGAAACTATTGTGGTACATAGCAATCATTCATTCTTAATACAATTCCTCATTGCCCTGTGTGAGATATATCATGGAGCACTGGTGTGTGTGTGTGTGTGTTCTGCACCTACAGCATATAGTACTTACAGGACATCTGTTGAGGAAAAATTGCTTCAATGAATGATGTTCATAGGAATAGTGAGAATAACATGTTGATGACATCTTAACAGTGGGACTAACATATAGGATAATAGAAAAGGATGGATTGATTGCAAAACTATAATTCAGTCAAGGGTTCTGATGGTTCCATAAACCACAGGAGTATAACTCAGGTGGTCTATGACATCATCAGAATACAGATTTAGCAATCAATCTGCCTCCCTCTCTGTTACTATTTTAGATTTAAATGTTACGTATATTTTTAAAAAATACAAAAGATCAAGTCACAGATTAAATAATACTTGAATGCTCATGCTGGAAACCTTGCTTGCCCTACATTTAAAAAGAATGCATTACTGGAATCTGGTTTTAATCATTCTTTAATAAGCTGAGATTGCCAAATGAACAAATACAACCCACATTATCATGTTGGCAGCATGGAGATATCTCCTGCCTGGCAGAATGTTTGTTACATGTTTTGTTGCAGGTGTACCCTGGGTTATTCATTGGGGCACCATACTGCTTTCTTCCTGCATGCAAAACTCCCACTAAAGTCAGTGGACATTTTTGGTGATCAGAAAAATGCAAGTATTAGGCCCAAATTGGTAACACTGTTGTGAGGTTCTCTCTGTAAATAAAGTAGGGCTGCTGTACCATAGCTACTCTTTTTTCCCCCCTGAATCTCAAAAGTCTTGGAAACTCTAAAAATGCTAAGTCAAAATTTTCAAATTTAAATATCTAAATTTAGGTACCTGACAACTTGATCATGCAAACAGATAGTTATGTGGTTGACTTGACTCTTGTAAAGTGGTCCCACTGACTCCAATGAGACTATAGATGTGAGTAAAAATTAAATATGTGGATAAGTGTTTGCCAGATTGAGGGCTAAATGCATATTTAGACTGTTAAATAAGTATTTTGTGTCCTGATAGTAGGCACACAAATATGAAAATTTTGGATTTAGTGCTTAGTTTGTTTTTGCTTTTCAAAATTGTTAATACATGTAAAGTGCCTTGCTGAATATGTCATGCAAATACTGCACTCACAATAAACTGTCCAATGTGTTATTTTTGTCTTTTTCAGCTTTCAGAATGATCCCCTATCCTTTGGAAAAAGGACACCTTTTTTACCCATATCCCATCTGTACAGAAACAGCAGACAGAGAATTACTTCCATGTAAGTCTGAACTTTTTCTCTTTTTTATCCCTGGTTCTTGGCACCAAAGGGTTGTTTATCACAGTTCTGGAATACTGGCCTCCACTGATAACTCTTAAGTTGGGTTCACTAGATTAGAATGATTGGCTGACAGTGAATCTTGAGAGTTCACTTGATTGTTAAAATGGTAATTCATAGCTACAGCTCATAAAGCTTTAGGTATCTTCATTGATATCAAAAAAGAAAGAAAATCAGATTACCTTGGGGATGTACTTCTTTTAAAAATCTATGGTTTCTTTCTTGCCAAGACAGATAAAGTATGTTTGTTCCTTTATCTAGGATATCATACCATCAAACTAAAAATACAGTTGTCCTGCCCTGTAGTCCTAATGCAGGAAACCACTATCTAAATTCAAGGCAATTTTGCCTTCCGAAGACTGCAGGATTGAGCCTGCATAAGGACCATTAACCAAGTACCAAGTTATTGTGACCTCTTGTAAGAGAGCTATTGTAGGAGACGTCTAGTCACAAAGAGGGTTTTCTTCATGTAATGATGTGTGTGATTCTTATAAAGATATTAATGTGAAATTACACCAGTCATTTATTATTATGACTCTGTAAAGCGCCAAGAGTGTTCTAAATGCTGTGCAAGATACAGATATAAAAATAGCCCCCTGCCCTTGGAGAGTTTTACAGTCGAAGTCAATGGGACTGCTTGCCGTGCATAAAGTTAAACACGAGTCACTCTTTGCAGTATCAGGCCTAACTGGCCAGTCCTGGAAATGTCACACACTCAGAACTTCATTCCCACATTGTTTCCCATTGAAGTCAGTGGGACTTGGTTGGAGAGCATAGATGCTCATGCGGGGATGTTTGCAGGATCACGTTCCGAAAGGCAGACATAAGTTGCACTGGGGAACTCAAAAAAGGGAGTAAATTTAAATTATTTTTTGAAAAATAAATGAAGATGTGCTTGTGTTCTGTTTGCATTTGTCTCTCTTCTGGAATAGATCTTTCTTTTATAACAGCTCCAGTTTGGGCTAAGTTATGTTTAAGCATTTTTAATAAATCTATCTGAGTAAACTATAGGTAGAAGTAATATAGCAAGAGTCCCCTCATTGTTAGGCCCTTTTTTCACAACACATTCTCTCTGATATTACACAGTAATCCTTGGCAACCAGCTCTATCTCCCCACCCCATTATAATCACCCTAATTATAACAATACCTCTTAGGACTCTCAGAATACTTTACTCCAAGGGATACTGTTAAATGGAGGGTGGAGTGTCAGGGAAATTTGGGAATGACAAAATGATACAGAATAGTCAGCATTCTCCTTTCTAGGTGCAAAATTAATTGCTGTTGTCAGATGTTAGAAGCAAGGGACTCTTTAATACCGTACATTGATGGGAATGTTTTGCTCTGATAATTGTGAGAAATGCCTTTTGCTGTCAAATCTCTTGGGTTTGAGAAGAGAAGGTTTTCACATACTGTGAGAGACACAGGTTGCGTAGAGGTCCTTTACACCACATGCCTGTCTAAACCTTTAATTGCTTATATTTTAAAGGTAACTTTTGGTAGGTAATTTGAAGTCTCTGCTGAAATGATATCATAGCCCTAGGGTTTGCATGAGGAACAGTTTGTTTCAAATGAAAGAGAGATTGAAAAGATTAACCCCGGCTAAGTACAAACATCAACCAAACCTAATTTTTGCTTTAACTGGTTAATGAACTACAACAACAGATTGGATATTTCAGTCAAAGACAGTAGAAGTGGGAGCCTGCATTAGAATGCTTGTGCAGTTGTATTTTCCCAGCTCTAATCTGCAATTTGATACTTACATATGTGATTTAAATGAAATTATCTAACCATGTTTCTCCTGAAAACAGTTTGCTGATTTTTTTAAGGGAACAAGATTTGCAGGCCCCAAACTCTAACACACTTGAAATTGCTATTTTTATTTTAACCATTCAAAGATGCCTTATGGGCCCATCAGATGAGAGCTGCAACAGTCCAAACCGGATGTTGTGCTGTCCTATACCATGCTGCTTGACTGCCCTGTTTCTGTGACCTGGCAGGTGCAAAATAAGCAGGCTTTGAGCAGGATTCTTGCATATCTTCAGCCATACCTGCCCATAAAAATGGAGAAGGCAGGCAGAGTAGAAGAATGGGGTGATATGTATGTATACAGCCATGACATTTAAAATTAAAAAACAAGCTGGTACGGCAACTAACTTTAGATCTACCAGCAGGGAGAATATCCTTTTAAGAGAAAAGCTACTGTCATTTCAAAGTCAAGCACTGATCCTGACTAGAACTTAAAAGTAGGGATGGAATGGGAGACACAGTTCGACAAAGCAAGAACTGGCCAGAACATTTGCCAAACTGGCCAGATCTCCCAACCTGAATCTGAGCCATCATAAAAGGTTTGATTAAGCAAAACTTTCCTCCAGGCAAGTTCCCACTCTCAGCTCTGGGATACTTCTTCCCCCAAGAGCATATTGTGGGTCTCTTCAGGCCAAAGCCAGAGACTTTTCTGTTTCCCTTTTAGTTTGTATTGATTGTTGCTGGATTTTTTTTATTCCTCATATGCATCATATGGTGGTTTGTGGAGCGGTTTCTTTCCCTGCCTTTATTTCAGCAAGTTTCCCTTGCTTGCATAAATTGCATTAGTTAATGCACATGGGCATCTAAAAAAATAAATGTATTATTAATATGGTGATGAAGATGCAGAAGGAACAGGGAAGGAATCAGCTAGTGGTGGGATGAAATGGAAGGGAGGCTATGCTGGGAGGAGTCAAGGAAGGCACAGATGATTATAGTGGAAGGAAGAGTCTGTTAAAGGGTAGGGAAATGGGAAGAGGAGTCTCAAATGATTCTGGCATTCAGAACCTTTAGATGTGTCTTCTCGCTAAACCAAACCTCGGAACCTTTGTGGCTTCTTTGTAACTGCTTAACCCTCATAAGAAGGTATTTTACCTACACCATGTTTTTCCTTTCTGCTTTCCTCTGCAGCATTTCATGAAGTTTCAGTTTATCCCAAGAAAGAGCTTCCTTTCTTTATACTCTTCACTGCTGGATTATGTTCCTTCACAGCCATGCTAGCCCTCCTGACACATCAGTTCCCGGAGCTTATGGGGGTCTTCGCAAAAGCTGTGAGTATTCACTGACACTCCTTGGTTTTCGGGTAAATACAAACACAAAACAAAAAGAGAAATGCACAAATAAAATGGTGCTGAGCTAGACATTGCTGGATATGAAGTGTCTGAATATTTGTTAGTATAAAAGGAGCATCCAGGGGTCTGTCACTGAACAGGAGAACATTTAGAAATCATTTAAGGAGCTAATCAGTAAAATACACTCCAGTCTTTCCTCTCTGGATTATCTGACTCTGTTGTTGGTCTTAGTTTCTTGTGGCTCTGCCAAAAAGGAGGGGGATATCTGCGTTTTCATGGATAATCCAATAATGTAAACTAATAACAGATTGCAGAGCCCCAGCCTGTTCAGAAAAATAAATTGTAAGCCTGTGCAAGGTTGTGATAACTACACAGTACTTCCCAATGCAAGACAGGGACAGCACAAACTCTAAGTAGTACCAGAAAAAATGTGGTTCCATGTTAACCAAATCAAATTGCAGTGTCCTTTTCTGAAACTGCAACAAATGAGACAGCCTCAGTGTTCATGTCCAGACCTCTTATTCCAGCTCTCTATTAGATGCATCTGCTGAAGGCACTACTAATTCTGCTTTTCTGGCCACTGAGGTCTGTACTCCAACTTGCTTTTTTCCTTGCAAAGTCTAAGAGCATCACTACTCTGATTTTTGCAGCCACAGGGGGCATGTGGAAAATTCACTTCCCAGCAAAGTTCCATCAAGACCATTACTCCCTCCTCCAAGAAATGCTGAGAACCCAGAGCAATAATTTATTATTTAATGTACTTCTTATTGTGGAGCAGGGTGGGTCCAAAATACCCTCTTGGCCTTCTTGGTATTTCCAAATGATGTTAAAGTTCCTCTGCACTCATTGAGTTTTTTTCTGGGGGTGGAGGAGGCTTTGCTAGAGCTCTCAAGGTATCCCAAGGCTCATTCTTTAGCTCCTTTCTCAAGACCTCATATCCTGCTGACCAGGAAGGATTGTCCAGGGACCCCTTTTGGAGTCAACCATCAGCCAGGCTGGTCAAATATATCAGTGCTTTAATCCCAAGCACTAGTAGTAGTTTGTGTCTGTTATGGCAATGGCTCTTGCATTAAGAATTCCTGTGTCTGCAGGCGAAGAGGATAGATGACTTGATCAGTTGGGGTAAAAGCTAACATGTCTGTCAACAGAAAAAATACAATAACCTGCTTGAAATAGTCCTTTATGCATTTAGCCTTGAGTGTATCTATAGGTGTATAGTGGATGGCATGTATTATTATTGTGGTTGTTGTTGTTGTTTGTTGTTTTTATTATGGACATGGAACAAGACCTCATCCTGCTACGTGCTGTACAAACACAGAACAAAAAGATGGTCCCTGACTCAGAGTTTACTCTAAGTATAAGACAAGAGACAACAGATGGATGCAGACAGACAGTACAAGGAAACAATGAGACAAAATTGGTCAGCGTGATAGGCTCTGGTATAAACACACCAGTTATCATTGTTATTTATTATTTGTTTCACCAAAGTGCCTAGAACCAGAGTTTTGTAGGCATCACAGCAAAGGAGTTTTAAGGCTGGTTAGGGGTATGAGTAAGGGAGGTGTTCCTAGGAAACTTCCTTCATAGAATAAAAAGAAAAAGCAATGTCTCCGAAGCACAGATTTTGCTTCCAGTCTGTTTTGTTCATTCAGTATGCAGTATGCCGGTATTAGCAGTCAGTAGGCCAAATTCTGCCCTTCCGTGTACCCTGTGCAACCCCATTGGCGGTCAGCCTCATGATTTATTTAAGAGCAAAGAGTTTAAGAGCACCTCAGGCAATGAGCCTGCTACAGGTAATGAGGTGCTGGAATCAGACAAACCTGATTGCGGACTTTCATGGGCTTCACTTGGCATTTTTTGTGTGATGGGTGCAATCAAATGGAGTGCGGGGGGGGGGGGGGCTAATATTTACATTTGTGATGTACTAGCAATTGTTTCCTTAAATAGCTCTCGCTTTGGGCACCAAAGTCACTTTGGGAGTACAATGCAATCAAGAGGATCTATTCCTTTGATATGTGCATGTAGCTTCCATTGATGTTAATGGAATAGAAGCCTCTGGGCTCAATATGTGACTGCATCCTGTATCTGAGAATAGAGTGGAGCACAATAAATGAACACAAACAAAACTAAATTAATGCCATGTTATTAACCGTGTATGAAATAGGCAGTGTCACTGACCTCTGTGTACATCTCTGAAGCTACATGGCATGTCTGCTATGTTAAGTAACATTCATAGGGATTTAGCTATGTGGCTATCTTAATAAACAAACACAGGCAGCAGCTGGCTTTTAATTGTGAATGGGCAGAGTGAAAATCAGGCCAGTCTGGTGAAAGCCTGTGACCTTCGTCCATTGACTGATCAAGGGGCTTAGACTCAGATGTCTCATTTTTGTTGTCTACTAAAAAGGTGGGGTAGCCAAACTGTGAAACCTAAGGCCTTGTCTACACTGCCACTTACAGCACTGAAACTTTCTTCACACAGGGGTGTGAAAAAACACTCCCCTGAGCGCTGCAAGTTTCAGTGTTGTAAAGTGGCAGTGTAGACAGTGTAACAGCGCTGGGAGCCGTGCTGACAGTGCTGCAGTGCTGGGAGCCATTCCCCTCGCAGAGGTGGTTTTATTACAATCCTTGGAGAGCTCTCTCCCAGCGTTGGAGCCGCGACTACACAGCCACATTAAAGCGCTGCGCTTTCACCTCGGCTGTGTAGACATACCCTAAGAAGTGTAATGACAGACGTCCCTTTGCTATGCAGTGATATCAAGGCTCAGTGGAACAGACCTCCAGCAAGCCACAGCTGTGCCCTTTCCCCTTTTAAGGGAATTAATTTTGAACATAGCTAAAAAGATGAATGTTCTGAATATCATTTTGGTTGTGTGTGTGTGGAATTAATACACTTGTCTGATTGACATGCTGTGGTTTAACCAACATCATGGGATGTATTGCAAAACTACAAGAATAAGTCCTAATTTTAGCAGGGCTAAATTATTCTTCTACTTACATCTGTCAATCCCAAGAGCACTGCACAAGTGTAACTGAGAGCCACCTTGGACCAATTTAAAAATTAAATCCAAGTTCATATTACTGCCAGTTGAGGTTTAGCAATTTACAAAATATAGTGTACTTCAGTTAAACTGAATATAGCATGTGTGGAGCTGTTTGCATTTTTAAGCTCCTACTTGGGGAACAAATATTTGATAATGGGCTCTCTTCAGTCTAGCTGGCATAGATATAACAAGATTGAGTGGCTGGAATCTGAAGCTAGACAAATTCACACTTGAAATAAGGCACTTTTTTTTTTTACAATGAAGGTAATTAACCATTGCAACAACTTACCAAGGGTTGTGGTGGATTCTCCTTCACTGGCAATTTTTAAATCAAGAGTGGATGTTTCTTCTGAACAATATGCTGTAGGTCAAACAGGAATTATTTCAGGGAAGTTTTATGGCCTGTGTTATGCAGGAAGTTAGCCTACATGATCTAACAATCCCTTCTGGCCTTACATTCTTTGAATCTATGAAACTTGCCAGTACAGCCACTGGCCCCCGGTCTAGGCTATTGACACTTTGAAGCTCATACAAGTCTGTGAATACTATTCATTCTGTCCTCGCAGTGCTTGGGAGAGACAGTCCCTGGTGTAGACACCTGCTTCATCTCATGAATGAACTTGCAGCAGGTCTTGGTGATACCTCCTGTCTGGGTAGAGAAAAGGAACAAGGTGTACTTGAGGGGGGAAAGGCTAGAGTAAATCGAGGTGGTTCAGAGAGGGCAGAGTACTACCTGAATCAATATATTTTATTATTCTAGACTGCTGGTTTCAGCCAAAGCTAAAATCTAATTGGTCCTAAACTCTCTGTGAATTCACCGTAAGACTAAAATAACTTATTTAACAATGAAACATCACAGTTTCTACAAAAGGAGTCCTTGATCAGTCCCATTCAGGGCAAACTAAGTGGTCCATAAACAGTAACGCTCCAAAAGATGCAAATTAAAAGCTGAATCAGACTCTGGATTTTTACAGTTTCTTAGCTGATCGTATCAGAACCTTTGATCCTGCTGTCAAGGCAATGTAAGGATTTTAGAGCATCCCCAAGCAGGAATGAGTATGAGGCTCCCTATGAAATTGTCTGCATCCACTTTGTGCATCTGGAGGGCTGGCTTTTATGTGGCTTGCATGGTTAAGTAGGCTTAGAGTGTCCAGATGTCATAATGATGCTTATAAGTGCCTGTAATAATAATGATATGACAGGCAGAGGTACGTTTCTGTAGCTTCTCTTTTTAGGCTTTCTCTTTTCTCACTCCTCCGCTTCCAGCCTATAATGAAAGTCACTTTCCTCCTTCTCCTCCCCTCCCCAATCCCCTTCATTGGCCTCCCATCTCTTACTGCATCAAACACATGGTCCCTGTTCACAATCAAGGCCCTAACAATCTCACCAGTTTACATCACCCATCTCTCTCCCTCAGACTCTTCTGCTCATTTCATACACTCCTACAAAGCCCTTCATTCTACTGCTGTCTTCACTGTGTATCCCACTTCTCAGTTCACACCTTCTCTCCTGCTTTCCCCTGTGTTTGGTAGTTCCTCACTCCCAGCCTGCCAATCCCCCTTCTCTCTCCTCCTGCTGCCCCCTCCCGAAAACCCTCTTTTTCCAGGAATCTTTCCACCCTGCTTACAGAGAATCTCTCCTCACTTGCCCTTTCCTGAGTGGTTTTGTCTTGTGATGTGTGTGTCTCCCTTTTCTCTCTTCTATCTCAAGCCCCACTCCTGCAACTGGATCCTCTAATACAGAGTTCTTGAGGAGTTCCATTCACCTCACTGGATCTCTGTAAGGGTCTGTGCTAAGATTCAGTATCAGGCTCTGGTGTATAAGCTCTATAGGGGCAAGGTTGATGTCCTAATTTGTTTTTGCAAGCATCATATACATTTGTGGTGCTATCTAAATTATTTTTATCAATAACAATAGATATAATAAATAACCTGC